GCAAAAGCACATGACGATTGAAATTATACTCTATACTTTGACTTTCACATAATTCAAGTCAACACTTGTTCTCTTTTATGTCTGTTTCAGAAATAAGTTGGTCAGTGAGATCAAGTCTGACCTAGGTATGTGCAGGAAACAATCAACCTTTAATAATATTTGACATTTTGACTTCTATTAAATTTGAATTCAGAACAGCTACTAATATTATTGACTTTTAAAAGTTAGCAGACATTAAAGTGAACTCATTTATGCACTTTTGCTGTAATTTACTCATGAGTTTTCATAATTAGAGCTAGTGAGATATATTCCTATTACCTTTCTATGATGTGGGTCCATTAGACACGGAAGTATTGTTAAGAGTGGAATTACTTTTCCTTCTAGGTGGTTTTTCTTTCTCTTCAAACAGATGCATTTATATCATGTTTTCTGCGGTTTGCCTATTCAACTGAGATGTTATTTGTGGATTAACAATATTCATTAATAATTCATTCATATTTGGATAAAACGCATTTAGTTTTGTTTACACATAAATCTCGCCTATATGTAGTTATTTATGAAGTTTAGCTTTACATTGTATTTATCCAGAGAAAGATTTATCGTTTTCCGATATATAAACCTAAACAATTTAATTATTGTAGAGATTTCTGTATTTTGATGTGGTTGTGTTCTCTGAGCTGGATAGTTGATTTGCGAAGCTTTCGTCACCCTACTAGGTGACATCTTCAGCGCATACTTCAATTTGACTTCAAATTAACTATCCAGCTTAGAGAACACAACCACATCAAAATCATCCACCTGAGCTACAAATCTTCTCCATCATATCTAGATTTCTGTATATTCGAATGAATGAAAAAACAAAATGATATTATTCTTTACTGACGTTTCGCTTGTTATTATTACTACTCCCTTGGGCTCCTAGTGGAACATAGGGCCTCAACAACACATCTCCACTTTCTTCTATTCTCTGCTGTCCTATTCAGTTGGATACACGATTGACCGTAATGTCTCATCTCCTCCTCTACGTCACACAGTCTCCAACATGTCACCCTCTCACTGAAAATCCACTCGAGCAACGGTCTGCATTGCGCGCGATGTCCTTCGACGGCCTCCTCAACGTATGCCCAGTCCATCTCCACTTTCTTCGACATATTTGTTGAGCAATCGACTCTCGGCTGGTTTGTTACCAGCCAGAGTTCCTTGTTACTAATTCTTTCTGGCCTGCCAGCGAAGTGGGCAGCTGTTGATAAAAGGCTGTAACTTGTTGCAAATCCTTTCCGTAATACACAGTGCGAGTTTCTGACCCATATATTGAAGAACTGACTGACTAACTGACATTTGTGTTGAAAATCCGAATCTTGTTCTCAATGCTGACTGGCTGGCTGGCTGGCTGAGTGCAGTGCAGAAGATTTCGAAACTGGTTTCAGGTTGGCGAAGGCGTATCTCACCTTTCCAATCCATGCTGGCGAGCTTTGACATCTTCATCCGTTCGAACTGTCTGTGGTTGAAACCGTGCTTCCTGACGAGAAAAGGGAAGTCAGGAAGTAACCTCTGTCAAATCTCTCCCGTTGGTGGTGGGTGATTGGTGCTGGTTGTTGTGGTTGTCACAGTTGTTGCAGTTGGTTGGTTGGTTATCTTCATCACCTCCGTCTCCAACTTCTCTATGTTCACCTGGAGGCTTGTCTTCACTGCCTGTCTCGCCTCTTCAGTCAGTTTCTTGGTTTTCACCTGCCTGCAAGTCTTCGTGTGTGTGTGCCATGAGACATAAATCATCCACACGCGAAATCGAGATCATCTAGAGTATTCTTATCGGTCAGTGCAGTGTATTCCTGTCTTCTCACTCCCTGTGCACAGTCTGATGCATAATTCAGTCGATCACAATTAGGCATATCATCGGAGATAGCAGATAGGCAGCCAGCTTGTCTTACTCCTGTATTCACTTCAATAGAAGGCTTCGCTGAGTTTTCCGTTGTGGATCACCTGGTATGTGGCACTGTCATACAGCCAGCTGTTGAATGAGGTTGATAAAGATTTGGAGCAGACCATAGTTCCAGAATTATTTCACTGTCAGTCGAAGGCCTTTTTGAAGTCGATGAAGTTGAGGTAGGGTGGGGTTTGACTGCCATTTTGTGCTTTGTTCAGTGATGATGATGGTGTGTAGCGTTGCAACTTGTTCAGCACATGATTTGCCTTTCTTGAATGCAGCTTGTTCCGGTTGGTGGGCGAGTTTCAAGTGAAGATAGTCGATTGAAGAGTCCTATGAAGTGGTCAGCACATTGTTTGATTTGCTCCCCTCCCCCTTGGTAATCAGGTTCCCTTGAGCATCTTTTATTAGTTTCATCATCTGCATTGAAACGCATTGACCTGGTTATCCAATATAATTATTGTTCTGAGGTCTCTTCCACCTGCCTGCAGCCTGCCTCTTCTGCTTCAGTTGTCTCTAGACAGTGTGTCGCAGAACTGTCTTTTGTCTTTCCTACTACTCCTTTTTCACTTCTATCTTTATTCAGTGCAGTGTATATTGAACTCAGCTTCTCACTCTCTTGTCCATCTCTGCATTGATTCATTTTCTCTCTCACCATCCTCCTCTTCTGTCTTCTTCTCTCATAGATTATCTTGCAGGTAGATGTCCATTGAGAGCCATTACTTTTATTGTCTTGCCTCTTCTTTCTTCCTTAAACAGTTCTACACACCTCCTTGAGCATCACCTTCAGACAGTTAGTCTCAGTGTTGTTCCACACAGGTTTCTTTAGTGATACCACGTAGTTTCTCCAACTTTGGTCTGATCTGATCTGTAGTGAAGGTTGACGTCCCTTGTAGTTTCTTCCTTCAGTTTCTGAATGCTTGACCTGAATTACAGTGGCCTGTCTCCAATTGTTCTGAAGGATTTCAGCTTCACCTTGTAGGTAGGTTGCTTGAACCAGATGATGATGTGAGCCCACATCTGCCTCCTTTCTCGAATCAGCAGGCCAGCTGCGTCTCCACTTCCTTAAGCAGCACTGAGATGAAATCTTTCTGGTTTGTAGTGTTGTAACAACAGAAGACAATGGCCAGGCAACAGAACGTTTATTACGGAAAATCAACACATATTTATAGATTTTGATGTACATTATTGGAGGTTAATGTTAGTATAAAATACAGTCTGTTGATTGGTTGTTTCTCACACAAAGTTAACCCTGCATCTCTTGTGGCTGTGTCAGTTCATCTATATGTTAACTGTATCCGCCTGTCCATCTTGACCTTGTTTTCACATGATTAACATTGATCTCAATTACTGTCAACCAATTTGGCTAGCAACCATCTTTCACCACAGTGTATCCTTCAGGCGCAATCCATATCACTAGCCTTGTGTATATTATTGTGGGTGTAGACGCTGCCTCCGATTACTAAATCACCGAAGGCGGAGAAGTGTGCGAATTGTTTTCCGTTCTCATTCCTTTCGCAAGACGAAGGCCTGCCGACCCACGATGAGTTCTCTTCCTGTATTACCTGCTCCCAGTTTGGCTGGCATTCATATCATCCATGAGGATTTTGATGTCACCATTTGGGATGTTGTCCACTACTTTTTTATTTGTCTATAAAAACTGTCCTTTTCTTATTCCTTGTTGTATTTTGGATTGTGCGTAGCATTGGATAATTGTGACCTTACTTCCTTCCTTCCGATTTGAATCTTGCTGTCATGATCGTGTGGGATAAAATTGATTCCCACTGCATAAGAGCTTTGGCTGATATTGGTGACATCACGATAGCCACTCACTGGCTCAGTGTGCTGGTGGTTGTCGTCTGAGTGACCAGACCACAGTAGATCACTGACTCTGCAGTTGATAATTTCAATAGTCTTCATCCATTCCATCTGCTGTCCCAGATTCCCAGCACTTCTGTACCATACCTTTTCATTTATTTGGCTGCTTGGGAGGCCTTCCTAACCTCATACATTGTACTTACATTCCACATCCCCATTCTTATTCCTGCTTTTATCGAGAGAAAAAATATCGGCTGAGTGGTTTCCCGAAGGCTTTCACCAGCCTGCTGTCATTTTGCCTCTCCGATTTCAGAGAATAATAAGTTTGTATTCTATATTTTTTTGTATTTTTAATATTTTTATTGTATGTTGAAGTTTCTGTAGAAGTTTATTTGGTTTGTGGGGTAGGGTCGCTATCCCTACTCCCTAACCCTCCCTCTTTAGCCTATCTTGGGACCTACTAGAGAGTTAGTAAACTAGGCGAGGTTAACGTTTCACTATTTAATGCTAATAGCTTTATCAAAGTGATATTAAACCAGAATTTACAAAATGTCAGCTTATATACAGTAACGTAATCACACCTCTGCAGCATGAGGTAATTTTTACATTTTCAAGTGGAAGCATGGGTGAAGATGATAAACCATGTGCAGATTATTGAATATGATAAGTGTATGGTATTATAAAAACAGCGTGTGTTTACATAATGAAATCGCTTATCATATTTGTGCTGATTCTGTCACTTCATAAGAGAGGAAGAGAGTCACAACTGGATCAGACTCTTTTTAATCCGTTATTCATACTCAGACAGTTTGGATTCCACTTAAGATGAAGTGTTTATGATACGAGGCGGTCTTTGGGATGTTTGAAATTTTCCTGGATGATTTCAGTATTGTCAAAATCAATTTTTATAGTCTGATTCTATAGCGTATAGACCTATGAATGACTACTTTTCATTGGGAAATACAAAACTTCTGTAATAATGAGTATCGTAAACCCACTGACCAAAAATTTTAAAACTATCAAATGTAATTTTGGTTTGGACATGCATACAAAACACTGTCAGTCACATATTCCACAGGATTGCATTGCTTCGCATGCATAAATGCTCATCTTTTGAGTAAACTCCACTGATATCACTTATCATTATAATCAAGGCATGATTTCCTTAATTTTACAGTTTTTATTTATAGTACACATCTGATTATATAACATAAGCCTTAGAGACAAACAAAAACGTGTAAAACGAAACGCAACTTACACTTTTCTGACATTTTTTCATATGAACCTTGATAATTAGTCAGTAAACTTGGTGTATGATGCTCATAACTTCCTCCGAATGGATTATCTGAAAAATAAATTCATATAAGTGTATATTATCTTGTGAATAGCTTTCATTCAAGTAGTTATTTATTTATGCAGATGAATTCATAGAAGTAAAATTAAACAAGTTTAGTAATATAAAAGTTTTCAAAATATTTGACCTCGACATATTTATACCTAGAGTGATATAAGTTCATTGACAAATCTATGTAAACAGTCTTATTTGCTTGGTGGATGGTGACTAGCAGTGGAATCCAGGATGCGCATTTCGTCCTATTTGGGACTCGTCTTCCAGCTGAATGTACCTGCATTCCCCAGTAAGTGATGATGTTCCCACCGAGGCTCGAACCCAGTGCCCATAGTTTCAAACGCTACTGCTAGTCACCATCCACCAATTAAATTCTAATTACATGCCCAGACATCGTTGAAGCATTTGCACAAGAAGCCAACATGTCAACCTGAGACCGAGCACTTCGGTCCAATCAATCGACGGGAAAATCTAAAATTCAATTTAAACAAACTTATTTGCTGTTGTTAAAAGACATCATGTCAACTGTTGCACAACATTCGTCTGTATAAGTGAAAGCAATTCGATCATCGATATCTGCGAAGAGTCTGGTGAAAATAATCGATTTTATAGCTTTCATATCCATTGATATGGTCATCAAGTTTATTTCAAGGGTGAAGATATATATACCATTGTAAAATGGCCAGGTGAAAAGTACATTTCAAGATTAAGCATATTAGTACGCCACTTCAGTGATATGAAGGTGATTTCATAATCACCTTCGAAAGATAGAGCATTATTAAGAAAAATAAAAATTCACAAAGTAAGTATAATGGGGATAGAAGTAGTTCTTTGGAGCAAGCCAAGTTCTCATGTTAAATATGATGTGAATTTCACCGTCAAAATAGACAAATAAAAACAAGAATCTTGTTCCGTTTTTTTATGTGCACCACATGCTGTTTGCAGATGAGTCTTTCTTTTAGAAAAAATATCTGCTTACTACTTAAAATAAACTTGGAAATGGAAAGTAGTTTTGTCGACTAACTTGTATGGGAATAATATTTTATTAGAATAATTATGCAATAAGTTAATATAAATGTGATTCATATGATTAAAAAAATATTGCAATTTCATTTTGGCTAATACGTGAGAATAAAGATGTTTGTTTAAAAGAAATTTGTGTGTGAAAACTTCTGGCTATAAAATTCACATGTGAAAGTCAGCGGGATAATTTTTTAGCGTTTTTATTCTGCTTAAGCTTTGATAGCGAAGACATTCTGCCAGAGGATTTCTCAGACAGCAGGTAAGTGTCTGAGCATCTTCAGCTGAAGCGAATCCGTAGGTGACTATAAAGAGTCGACTGTATGGCATGCAATTGAAGCATAAACATACACAATTTGTTAAACAATGTCAGCTGTCAACAGGGAGTTACAACCAGCCATAAGAAATGACAGTGAAGTGTGCTACTAATCCACTTGTTGAGCACCAGTAAAAACTCATGAATTGTTATCCAACCTGACTGATCTTACAAGTTAAATTAGATCAATTTTGCTTTGTGTATTAGTTTTTAAAAATTGTGGAATGTTTGGGTGGTTTTAGCGTATAACTGTCCAAGAGTAAGACTTGGACACTGTAACACAGCATAATCTTATATTAGATTGTTTATTCAGTAAAGCGCATTACATAACGGTCAGCTCTTTTGTTCAACTTTGCCAGCTTTGAAAATGTCTTCGATAGTGGACAAATACCCACCTCATGTTACCTCCAACTGTGTCTACCAATTTACATGTACATGCCAAAGCACATACATGGGAAGAACAGAGAGAAGGGTTATTGTCCGCATTTCTGAACACATACCAAAGAACCTGAGACTGAATGGTCCACAAGTATTAAACAGTGTAACTGCGCGTCATCTATTAGACACTGGTCATAATGTAGACAACTTGAAGTCATTCAAAATAATCAACAAGCAAAAGAAACCTAGCTTGCTACGCTTTGCTGAAACAATTGCTATCAGACGACTTAAATCAAATCTATGTACGCAGAAAGAGACAGTGGTGAATCTTGCACTGCCCTGGTGACAACAAAATATACAACTTTTATGAGTCACCCTTTTTCTTGTTTAGAAAACTCTACTCTCTCATCTAAACATGACTCACCCCTTCTTGTTCTTTTTTCTTCCTTTTTTCTATTGGCTATTAGATAAAGCATTTTCTCTAGTTACGTAATCTACTTTTGTGTTATGCTCTGTCTAGCTAAACCTTGTTTCTGTACATATATATATATATATATATATATATATATATATATGCAACTCTGTTTTTGTTTCCAAGCCTAATTGCCTAATTATTCTATAAATATTTATAAACTGTCAAATATTGATCACAGTTCATTTGAATTATTCTATAAATAGTCAGTGTTTGTAACTCTTAATTAGTTAAATCATTCCGGACTAATGTTACTTTTACTTCCCACCAATTACTCCTTGTGATCGTGGAAAAGTATGTTCAAATCTTTGATGTAATGTAATTCATATTTTTTATTGTTCATGTTGTAGCCAGTTGAGAAGAATCCTCGAAATAATAAAAGATGAGCTCATATTATCCTGGTACGATTATTGTTCTTGCTTTGTTCAAGTCTTCGATAGTGTTGACCATGAAGTGATTTGGCAACTACTACAACACCACACAGTGTAGCGCCATGAACATCTACAAACCGCATTTGAAAGTCATATGATGATGTCATATACCAAATAATTCACGACGGAAAGCTTACTAAAGCATTTTAAGTGAAGATAGGAGTAAGACAAAGCTACCTACGATTACCCAAGATCTTCCTAACTGTGATGGACTGGATCATGCAAAAGACCGTCAAAAAGACTAGGAGATCTGAACTTCGCGGATGATTTATGTCTTATTGCGCACAAACTAGTAAATCTACAGACAAAAACCACCAAGTTGAGAAAAGAGGCAGGACTTCATGTGAACATAGAGAAGACAGAAGGGATAAAGATGTCCGACCAACAAGCGCTTATCAGATATTGGGAGGAAGTAACTTCTTTCGCCTATATAGGCAGCTGGCTATCAAAGCCAGTTACGATAGAAACGAGGGAGCAAGACAAACCTTCATTAATCTGAAGTCATTGTTGAGATCTGTAATGCTTTACGATCGACCGAATTTTCAATACCACTGTCAAGTCAATGCTTCTATGTGGTTCAGAGACTTGGTGTGTGTGTGTGTCACAAGAAGCATCTCCAACAGGCCACAGAATTTCGTCGACAGCTACCTTCTCTGGCTCAGCAATGAAGACCAGATGGCCGGCTAGGAAGGGTAAGCAACGAGAAACTCTGACGGTGAATCAGTCAAGAAAATATCGGGTAGCAAATATGCCGAAGGAAGTGGAGATGGACTAAAGAGACTGACGGGTGATGTAATACAGTGGGCCTTTGGATAGAACTCGAATGGGAAGCGATCAGTTGGGGATCCCAGGGTGATATGGAAGGCATCGTGTGAAGAAGAAATTAAAGCTTGTGAACAGTCGTGAAGCCAAATACAAAATGACGACACAGAAGCGAGTGAAATGGGGATGTGCTGATGAAGTACAACGACGAGAAGAATGGCGACAAAGAGTTATTTCGCCATATGACGTTCTGAACATAATCATATCGGCATGACTGTGTAGCTTTCAAAATCAGTTTCTACCAAATAAAATTTCTGACTAAAGCAGAAGTGTATATTGCTTCTTGTCGTAATTTGTTTTATTTTACTGTGAGTGATTTATAGAGTATTTTCTTAAATCATACAACATCTCTATTATATGTATTTTGTACTGTTATTTATTCTTGATAGTATTTAACTAATTTAAAATGAATGCTTTGTTGTCACCTGATACCGTGATAAATATTTGTACAAAATCTAGTTCAATCAAATGATTGTTGTTGTGTTTTTTCATTAAACCTAATTAGTTCTTTTTGTTAACTTATTATGGAATATAGTTACCAAACTTATAAGTCATTTATAGAAATTGCATGGAGGATTTCATCATGAGCTGACATCAGTTAGAGAACCACTGGAAAACCTGGGAGTACTGGACAGCTGTCTACGAGCTCGCCTTGTAACCAGAAGGTCCTGGGTTCGAACCCCAGTGGGTGCGTACTGTGAAGAGTCCCAAACTAGGACGAAACAGCTGTCCAGTACTCCCAGGTTTTCCAGTGGTTCTCTAACTGATGTCAGCTCATGATGAAATCCTCCATGCAATCAAACAAAAATCCCTACAAAACCAATACTTGAAAATTTATAGAAATCCTAGATCTTCAGTATACAAGACTATTTTTCTTTCTAAATGCTGCAAAGTTAACTTGATAAGGCAGTAGATGGAAAAACAACCTCTTTAAAAAGCGTAGAACTTGATATTTTTGCTTTTGAATTTCAGTCGTTAAATTTTCAATATGTACATTAAGTACTATGTCATATTAGCAATAGAGTATAAATGAAAATAAATTAAGCGTGTGATAAAAGAGAGGAAGTAAAGATGAGGCGAATATAAATGGTATTATGATAAATCTAAAATGGGATAAAATGTGGCTGCATTTACTCCATTACAAACGTTTAGTAATCACATTAAGCATATTGTCTCACCATAGGTTTGGCTGTCTTCTAGGAGGCTGTAATTTGACAAAAGCTATTTGGCTACACATCTTACATCCACAGTCTGTGACGTTTAATGAGATTATTCTATACCTTTGTCAGACCATCTTAATCAACACGGACTGAGGCATAACCAGTTATTATTTACGTATATTATGTTAATCCCCAACTATATGTTCCTGTCGCAGATCTACTAGCGTTTAATCGATTAACTTTAGCCAACTGTGCGTCGGTGGCACAGTGGTTAGGATGCTCGCCGACCATGCACATGGTCCGGGGTTCGATCCCCGGCTGACGCACTCCTTTACCTCGTCAAACCACTAATAAAAAGCCGGTAAAGAGGAAAGGTTGGGCATGAGGCTAGCAACCTC